CTTTGCTATAGCACCCATATATCAAGTGATTTCTTCATGAGGGTAAGTATTGAGTAGGGCCATGTCATAAGAACTAATTATTCTTGGATTAGGGCTGTGATTAAGTGGGAACTCAGAATTGATTCATCTATCTATGGTTTATAGATGTTCCTGGTCTACTTTAGAGATGCCATTATCATTTTATTAGGGAACATTATACACTATGCTCATGGGTATATGGTCATTTTATGGATAGTATCATTAATTTAGCCAATAGTATAGAATTTCAAGTACTGTTTAGAAAAAATATACATGTATAGGACAGCTTTTTAGAATACAATGCATGACTTGTACAGATGAAAAACTTAAGTGATTGGATACTAAATATTCAAAATAATGAGGGTTGGAGATAGGGCAAAACTTTCAATAATGCTCATTAACCAAGGCAGAACTATCTATGCCTGCTGGAGTAAAACATGTCATCAAAAAGCAGAGTGTGAAAATAGCAAATATACAGTACTCTCGAGTTGCTATTTATTGGGCACCCTCAAAGCAAGACATTTGGGCCAAAGTCCAACGACTTCCAAATCCATAACCTTGGGAGAGTGGTCACTTGCTTCCTCTCATCCTCGCATGCTACTTCCTTAAATCCAAGTTCAGTTCCTTTAATCTGCTGCGTTTAAAGTAAAGTCCAGTTTACTTAGTGGGATTTCTAAATCGGATCCTTCTGGTATGGCCTCTGAAGGATGCTGTGCCCTTGAAAGGACAGAGCCTAAGGTCTAGTTGTCTATGGCACATGGCCTGGGTCACCAAGCCCTGGATAGAAACTAGATCAAAAGTGCCCAATTAGGAGTATAATGCTGAGCGCATTCTGCCCTTAGGGGTAACAATGCATTTCTAAGAAATCATTTTACTGGGGGCTCTTATAGCTCTATAATGCACCATACATCAATTGTTGGCCTTGCTTTGACCTTTTGACCCCAGGCCAGTGACCAGCGGCCTTAAGTCCCAGGACGGCTCCTGCCACTTCCAAGCTGTTCATGGGACTAGGAGATAGGAAAGGACAACAACCTCAAGTTCAGGGCAGGTGGGGAGGGAGGGACGTCGTCTGGGGCTGGGAGGCTGCGGTCACCAGGCTCCCCTGGGGTAAAGGATGAGTGACAGAGGGCATGGCTGACCATCCAGCTAGTCCTTTCCTGACCCAGACTGCACTGCTCGCTGACTCGTGCTCCTGGACCCCTTAGGAGCCTGCTGCGGAGAGAAGGCGCCATGAGCTCCCCTTCCTCCACATCTGCTGCCAGCTCTCTGTGTCTCCTGACAGGTGGCGAATCTCTCACCTGGCTCGCCATTGGAGTGGAAGGTTCTGGCACAGTATCCTTAATACTGGAGCCTTGATTTCTCTTCTCCTTTGCTGTTCCCTCTGGCCCTTAATTTATTGGGAAAAGATTATAGCAGTGACTATACTGGATAATTTTGCCCAGGAAGGACCTATGTGTACGGGGCCTCACCCTGCCACAGACACAGGAGGACAGGAATGCTGAGCGTGGCCTGGTGGCCCGAGCAGGCCGGCAGGTGCAGCTGACGAGCAGCGTGGGCACAGGAGGGAACCCACTGGCAGGTTGTGAGTTGTCCAGGGCCACCGGCTTGCGTCTTCTCAACACATCCACTGCGCAGGAGCGCACACACCAGCCGCACTGAGCGGCACACGTGGGCACCTGGAGTCCCAATGTCAGGTCAAAGGAGCCACTGGGCTTGTCTGCACCTACCTCACCCACTACTGGAGCCAGCCCCAGACAGGGACACAGAGGACATAGCTGTGTCCCCAGCATCTGGGCCTGCCACCAGGAACTGAAGGTGGGAGCACAGGACAGTCACCAATATGTTAATGGTCAGTTGGCTCAGGCCCCACCAGCAGGAGTGGACTTCAGTTCCCAAGTCCACTGTCTTCCGATGGAAGCAGACTTGTGGTCTGGCTTGCTTGTTACGAAAACCAGGTGTGTTATTCTTGTCTGGCGATCGACTGCTGTCTCCTTCCCTTCTTATAAGGGTCTGAAGGCCTGGAACCCTGCGGATGCCATTGAGAAGGGTGGGGAGGGCCCGCTCCATATTCTAGCAAAACGCACTTGTTAGCTACCTGGTCTACGAAAGAAGACAAACCTGAGAACTGCTCACCACTGAGAAGTTGCTGTGAGCAAGCTTTTCTCACGCATCCCATTTGAGCCACACAGTACCACTCTGTGTCACTGTTGCCCTCAAGGTAAGGTTCTCTGGAGGGAAGGGCCAAAGCTGGGATGCCAAGCCAGGGAGGCTGGCCCGGAGTCGGGGGCCTGAGACACTGAAGCTCCCGGCTCCCTTGCCCTGAGGAGGCCCTGAGCAGCGATGACGATTACCAGCTGGGTGACGATGCTTTGCTGGGCAAGCCTCCCAAACCCAGGCCTGGCCTCTTGAGATGGTCGGTCCACCCACCCGGCAGTTAAGCCTGCCTATCCCTAAGGGGGCCTCAGGTGGGTAAGTACTGAGCTTGTTAACTGTTGGTGATTTGAACCCGCCAGCTGCTGCTACTTGAGAGAAAGAGGAGTCCATCTGCCCCCGTAAAGATTTACCACCTTGGAAATCTGCTGAGTGGGGGGCTGTGTGAATGAGCCCCTACCTAACAAATCCTGGCCTCAATTCAGTCTGCACAGCCAGGCCCTAGCGGGGCATCTGTGCCACAGCTTCTGCCCTCCATGGCAGACCCTCCTGGGGCTCCTCCTTAGGCTAGACTAAGTCCGTTTTGAGCAAATAAAGGCTACACACAATGTTCCCCGACGCCGTCCAGAAGGCAGCTAAGCCCGGCAAACAGGCCCAAGAGGGCCTCGATCTGGCTGCTGGTGGCCAGAGGCTGGCCAGGGCGGGGTGTGGGATGCGGGCGCACGTGCTGCCCCAGGACACCACTGTCACTGAGAGGGCTTCAAAAGGGGATGGTGGGATGGGCCCTCAACTTGTTTCCTGCCTGAGTTTAAGGATTTGGGAGTAGCTTGGCCAAGCTCTAAAGCAGTCCGTCAGGGAGTCTCCTGGGGAAAAGGGCATCCCGGCTGCTCAGGGACCGGCTCTGCCAGCCTGCCTTGCCATTCAGGGGCAGCCGGGAGGAGCCTGGCCACAGATGAGCTTTGCAAATTTGTCTCAGCTGTGCCTCACTTTCCCTAACTCTGACAACCAAATCTGGAGAGGCAGAAGCCCTTCGGAGATCTGGTTCCAGTCAGACTAGGTGGTGGGCCATAGCCCCGAGTACCACCAGCAGACAGTGTCTGTGATAGTCCACTCCGGGACCAAACGCTGTGCCATGTGGTGAGGAGGCCTGCTGAAGCCCTCCCGTGGGCTGCCAGCGGCTGCTCAGTTCTTGCCCAGCTAGGTGCTGCTCTCTGTGTCAGGTCATTCTCTTTGCTGAGGCTCTAACTCTTTAAGGGGATTAGCCTATTGAGACCTTGAAAAACGGGGTCATTTTAAATACCCTTGGGCATAGGCACTTGGGGAAAGTATCAAGTTGACAACTGTCAAAGGGCCATCAGCATTAGCTTAAGGAGCAGAGACAAGAAAGTGGACTTTTCATGAGCCCCTCCCCTCAGGCAAGCTACCCGCAGCAAAGCAGTGAGTGATCTGCTTTGTGCACAGTCCGAGCAAGGATGAGAGAAAACCCACTGCTAGAGTTAACTAACAGTTCCTTAAGAGCTGAACTAGAGCCAAACGCCAGGATCTTGAGGGAGCTACATGCTCACTTTGTAGACACACACCACCTACAGGGAAGTTAACTGTGGCCTTCATGCACTTACCCTCTTTAGCCCAAGGTCTCCTACCTCACTTTCCTTCTCAGGCAGCTGCTCCCGGTGGTACCACCCCTCCTTGGCCAGTGTCCCCTCAGCACTGTCAGTCAGCTGGTTCCTAATGTCCTGGTGGCCCCAGCTGCTCATCACGGCCCACTTCCTGACTGGTTTATGGAAATCGACAGAGCTTGACTCGTCAGCAAACTTCCCAGAGCCAAGAGCTGGCTCGGAGGGGCATCACCGGCCTGTAGGTTTGCTCTGAGTGCTCTGCTCCAGCCCTGCGCCCTCTGGACAACCCCTCTCCACTGGCAACAAGGCTTCACCTTCAGCGAATGACACTGCGACACCATGACTGAGTCCAATGTCACTTGCATCTCTAACAAGTGGATAACTAAGGTCAGATACACAGGAGAGTTAGGTAAGGGGCAATGGGAAAGAAAACATGCTAACTTTGAAGACCTATGCAACCATCTGATTTCTCGTTTTCAATGTTATTCTTACAGCTGTCCTCTGTCTTGAAAAGGATGTCTTTACTATCTGCAGCATTTTCCTCAATTCAATCATGGGACTTTATGGCTCGATCAGGGCTCAAACTTGTAGAAATATCTGCCCAACACCATTAACCAGAAAGTGGGACTATGGGTTTCACACCACGTGCATGAAAGTCACAGCTTGGCCCACCACCCTGAAGACAGGGCCAATCAAAAAGCTGACGTCACACTTTCCATGGTCTTAAAAACAAGGACTGTCATCCAGACAACGACATAAGAGCTGAGCTTTTCTGTCCATAAATCTCCTCCCCACCAAGGTCAAAAGGAGTCCAGTCGGCAGGCAAACCCTGCTAGTTCCCTGGCCTCCTAACAGACAGACTGCACTCTTTGGAACCAAGAGGTCCTAGAAACAAATCACCTCAGATCTGGGCCTTCAGGATCAGAAACCTGAGCCCACTGCTCTGGGCTACTAATGCCCCCATGCTAATTTGTTTGCAGAAAGCAGATCTAGCAGTACGTCCATGGCTAATCCCTTCGTGGTTGAACTTCACTTGGCATCCAGTGAGCAAGGCCACCACTTGCCCTTGCCTCAAGGGTGTTTGAGCTGAGGTGTCAGACAAAGGGAACCCCCAGATTTGCAAGCCCAGCGAAGGGGCTCATGTCACAAGGGCTGGCCCAGGGGCCACCAGAGGCGCCTTTCCAAAGTCAAGAAGATGCCAGCACCATCAAGAAGGATAAAATAAGTTTTTATTTATAGTCTTATAGTAAAGGGGGAAGCCTTAACTTGCAAGACAATTCTTCCGCAGTATGTACAACATACTTTTTATTTCCACGGAATGGAATCAAACACGGACCGAGACTACAGAGTATACACTAGAAATCAGCGAATGCTGGGAACGGAGGAGGGACAAAGAAATGAGGCTGGAACACAAAGCCCTTCCAGGGACCTGGTGACCGCAGGCAGCCGGAGCCAGGGCTGGGCCGCGGAATGGAGGCGGGCTCCAGAGAGGGAGGCTGGGGATGGGAGGGCCGCGCCGGGTGCGCGAGTTTAGTACCAGGTAAATCGCTCTTGGTATTTACATACAAAACCAGTTGGCTCTATTTCTTAGAAATGCACACGTTAGGAAAGGAAGATTTGATCCTTTATGAATCTGTAATGCCGACATCATCAGAAATAGGGACAATTCATTCGGATTCAAATTTCAGTAGCAGGAAATAAATATCAAAACATCATCACTGGCCCCTAATACAAAACCTCTGCCCTTGCCCCAGCCTCCCCCACCCGGCCCCACTCCCTGGGGGGTGACATGTCCCCCTCCCCGCAGGGCTGGCGGCACGGGCTCTCTCACCAGCCAGAGGCAGGGGTTCAACATGCCAAAGACTCAGCTGTAAACCTGTCCCAAGTTCCCTGTAAACCACAGCTTCTCGGAGGATCTGGTCTTTCAGTAAGAATGATAAATAATTTGGGGGGGGGGGCAGTCCCTAAAAAGGAGCAGGGAGAGGGATAATTCTGCTTATTCCAAACTGATCATCTTCGTAAAGTGGAGCAGTTCACAGATTCACAAAGTCTATCAGATAGAGGTGACGGCGGCGGACGGGAGGCGAGGCCTGGGAGGGTAGGAGTCCTGCAGGCGCCGGTGCCGGCAGGGCTGGAGGAGCTGGTGGGGCAGTGAGGACACCATGTGCTCTAGAGGTCCGGCCGGCCGTCTGTCCTCCACAGAAAAAGCTGCCAAGTTGGGGTGTTTTGGTTTAAAAATTCCTGGTGGGAACAGGGAATCCCTGAAGGGAAAACAGTGGGGGGTGGGGGGGGTCGGGAGTGGAAATGGAGGAGAACGAGAGCTGTTGTCCAAGAGCTTCTATGTAAAAAAAAAAAAAAAAGTAAGAAAAATAAAGAGTCTCTTAGAGGGGCCTAACGACGAACTGAGAGGATGAGACGCCGGAGAAGACAGTTTTTATTGCTGGCCTGCCCCGCTGCGCTTAGCTGGCCTCCATGCGGAGTTTCTTCCTGCTTTGGGGCTCTTCGGGCTCCGACTCCGAGCTGGAGTCCGAGCCCCCATCGAAGGCAGAGATGGTGCTGCCCTTGGCGTTGGTGTAGAGGCTGTTGTCTGAGGAAGGGTAGTTGGTCTGCAGTTGGGCACTCGACCTCGCTTTCTCCAGTGCACGGACTGAAAGGCAACCAAGGGAGAGGGTCAAAGCTCCTCAACACCGGGAGCGCGTCTCAGACTCCGGTCCAGCCTGTCCTTCCCACGGGCTTGCTGGCCCAAAGCTCAGAAGGCAGTCCCTTCTCGTGACTGTCCCACCTGTGGACTTCACGTCCCCGCCTTTTTCCCCAGCCAGGCGGGGGCCCTGTGAGCACGGCCAGCCCGCCCAACCCTAAAGAGAAGGCGTGTGAGGCCCCTGCCCTGCCGTGGAAGCCCAGCTTCCAAACAGACAGGAGTATACGTGCCCTGTGGGCGGCAGCAGTAGAAGCTGACCTGGCAATGCCAGGCTGCTCGGGTGTAAAGGTCACATGTAACAGCTCTGAGTAAATCAGCCACAAGAGCAGGGAAGGATGACAGAAGACGGATCATCCAGAGACAAGTATTGGCTTACGTTCTCACGGACAGGTTCCACTTGGAATGACAAGCTGGACACTTGAGCAAGTCACCAACACACAGGCTACCTGGGGCCTTGGACACATAGGCTCTACATGCAGGCTGCTTGGCCCGGGAACCAACCCGAGGTCGCCTCCCACCGTCCATCTTGCAGTTCCGCTCATCTTGAGCCTGGACGGTCACCCAGGGAGTTTTATTTTATGTGAGGTGTTCTATCCCAGGCGGCTACTTGCACTTCCTGTTACTTGCATCTTCCATGAGGGAGGAAGAGAAGTGAACTCCCCAGGAACAAAGAACTTGATCAGCTCTCGCTTTCCCTGTGGTTGTAGGAAAAGGTGAGTGTGAGCGGCTGCCCTGATTGGACTTCCACTGACAACAGGGAGGGCACAATGTCCCCGGTCCTTACACAGCACATGCCACGCCTGGGCCTCCACGCTTTTCTAACACACACACCTGATGCCCGGTGTGACCCCCTACCTGCAGGCAGAGCACCTGCACCCCGACAGCGGGGAGAAATTGGGTCAGAAAGGGTTTAAGTCTCCAGAGGTCCCGTTCTCTAGATTCCACTGGCTCCGCAAAGGTGGCTCAGGGCCCTCCTCAAGATGGTTCTAAAGCTCAACTACTCAGGACCCAGGAAGCCAGGCCAAGGCCGCTTCCGCACACATGCTCCGTAGCTGCCTCGGACTCTGCAAGCCCAGGTGCAACGGCAGGGCCGCCACCCCCGGAGCCCGGCTGCTCACCTTGCTGCTCCAGGAGAGCATTCTGCCGCTTGAGGTCGTCAATATCTTGCTGGTGTGTGTGGTTTTTCCTTCGCATATACTGGATATACTCTGTGGCTTTGTCTAGGATCTGGGCCCGGGATGCCTGTTGCAATATGAGAAAAAACACAGGAGACAAAATAAAGACCTAGTCCAAGCAGTGAGGGGACCATGCCTTCTGCAGCAACCGCCAGCGTGAGGGGAACCTGGCTGAGGAAACGAAGAGACTGACCCTTTGTGCCAGACCCTGCACCGGGTACTGCAGACCCGGGACTAAGCAGTTTGCTAGGCTCTTCAAAATCTTTCTCTACCACTCAGTGGCAGAGCCTGGAGCGAAACGCAGGTTCACATGGCTCTCTCCCATGCTTTGTTCTTGAGGTCCTCAGCCTGGGTTATGTCTGAAAACCTTAAAAGTCCCAACTGACCGATAGCTTGGTATGCTCTCTCTGTCAGGGCCTGACAACAGGTAGTTGGCCCCGAAAGACAGAATGAAGACCTTGGATGGAGATGGCTTGGGATGGGAGTGGGCACAGGGTTTTTCATTAAGGTCTTAGGAGTTCAGCCACATGCTCAGGCTATTGTGTTAACGAGTTCCCAGTGAGTGATGCTGTGGCGTCACTGTATTTCAGCTTTCTTGACTAAGAGACTTGTGAAAGTCCTTGATGCTTGATGTCAACACGGTGGGGCATGAGACTGGGTCATTTCAGGAAGCAGCCACACCCTCACCACAGCAGCCTAGGCACTGCCCTGTGAAGTTACGGTAAGTGGCTGTGCTCCTGGAAGACAGTGTGCCGAGAGGTTCCCTCCAGGCTGCACTCTAGAGCCAACAGGCTATCGGTAGAATGGTTCAAAGACAAGAGGAGGGAAGCCAGCGTATGGCCTACCTGTCACCGACTCCTGGGGAGTAGGCAGGGCAGTGCTCAGCAATTCTGTGTGACAGCCCTAGCCAAAAGAGTGGAACCACCCCTCTGGGTTTCTGAGTCTATAAATCTTTTTATTTTTATAAAAGTTTAATTGGCACTTCATCCACATGTCATACAATTCAATCATTCAACCATATCCAGCTGAGCTAGACAATCAGTATCACAATCGATTCTAGAACCTGCTCTCCTTCCTTGCACTCATTGTTACACATGCAACTATGTTTGTTAATTGTGGCAAAAATTCACACAACAAAATATTCTCCAATTCAGGAACTTCTACCAGTATAATTCAGTGCCATTGACTATACTTTTCATGTTGTACAACCATTATTGATTTCCTTTTCCAAATTATTCCACCACCATTAACATAAGCAACAACTCTTCCTCCTTCACCCATAACCACTAAGTGTGATTTATTTATTTTTTAAATAGTTTTCTTGATATAGCATTATCCAGCACTTCCATAGTTAAATCACTTTTTAAAGAGTTGTATGTACACCACCACAATCAGTTCTAATGCTCCCTCTCCCCTCCCGCTTTCATTGTTTGCTCCCGGAGCCCCCCACTCCTCTCCCCACATCCCCATAAGCCACTGCATCAGTTACTGTCTGCATGCACCACTCCTGTGCTTCACAAACTGGGAAACCAACAGAAACAATAATAAACAAAACAGCAAGAAGAAAACAACAATAATAATATGAAGATAAAAATTGAAAAGTAAGAAAGACTACTATCAATATTTAAAAAGCCAGAGAAGAAATTTCTGTCACAGAACATGTGAGAAATACTTGTGCCTGGAGCAAATTCAGGTTGGGTAAGAGGGAGGCCAAGTGACCAGGTATCATGAATATACAACATGGTTCGAGTCTTTATAAATCTTTAGGGGAGCAGAAAGCCTCATCGTTCTCCTCCTGAGCTGCTGCTGGTTTCAAACTGCTCCACAAGGGAGCAGCCTAATATGTAATGCATTGTGGCGCCAGGGCAGGTCAAGGAGTAGGACATAGCAGGGGGAGAAAGGTGAAGAAAAATCCACACCCAGGCTAGCAAAACCAGATCCCCTTGTTTAAAGCCTGACACTCTATTTCTAGATCCCAGGCTGGATTCAGTATCCGGGAGGTTCACAAGTCCTGAGCTTATTCACCAGTTCTCTTAAGAACTACAATTTCCAGACGATCCTCTGTAACACCCTTAAGGCTACTTCCTCAAAAGAAAACAATTTATATTCAACCAGCCACTTTTTTCTGGTACAAAGTAAGTACAAGGTGCTAGGGACACTAGGGAAACAAAATGTATTCGACGTAGTTTCTTTTGCCAGTTTACTCCTACTGCCACCAGCAAGTGAAACCTGAGTGGTAGGATTAAAAGGCCATGGGACAGATGGCTTCTGGCTGGGGGTTGGGGTGTTTACCTACTGTGTGCAATGGTGAGCCCTGAATGAGACCAAAACGAGTTCTGTGGGAAGGTTCACTCTGGGCACAGGGGAGGGCATGAGGGTGGGGAAAAGCAGGTGCATTTCTTAAAATCTGAGAAGATTATTGACTTAAGTACCCTGTTTCCCCAAATATAAGACCTACTTACAGTTTTGCCTCTTGCTGAAATATAAGGCATCCCTCCGAAAATAAGACCTCCCCCTAAAATAAGGCCCCCTGAAGCTACTGTAACTCTGGACTCTGGACTGCGTAGCCCGTGCAGCTCACTGTTGGCTGCAGCACAGCTGGAGCAGACAGGAAGTGCGAGGTCTCTTTTAATAAAACAATAAACAATAAATGTGTACCGTATTCTTCTTCATGGAAAAATAAGACATCCCCTGAAAATAAGACCTAGCACACCTTTGGGAGCAAAAATTAATGTAAGACACTGTCTTATTTTCGGGGAAACAGGGTAGGAGAAATGAGAGGAACTAGCAATGTGGGTTTGTAAATCTGGTTCATTCTGCCAAAGGAGCCGCATTTGGCTACTCGGGTCCAATTATGAGGAGGTAGCATGAAAACACAAGGCACATCATTAAAAGGGACTCATGAAGATACCTGGCTTCGCTGGTGGAAGAGGAAATGATAAACATGGTATGACAGGTGGCAGAGCGGTAGAGGGATAGTAAGTTTGGGAATCAGGAGGTGGTGTGGCTTCCTCCAGGGTCATTTTTTCTCTGAGGAGAAAAGCCCTGCCCAGCATGCAACCGCTGTGCAAACTTACACCAAGTCTCTCTTTAAACTTGCCTGTGTTAACACGGCTTTTCCGTGCGAGTGTGTTCGGGGTGGGGTGGGGTGGGGTGGGGTGGGGTGGCGGCAGCAGCATCTCTGACCCAGGAGAGCACTTGTGAGATGCCTTTTTATGAAGGACAGACTGAGGAGCAGTCTTGAAGCTACTCATTTCTCCTTTAAATACGTGAAACCACGGAATCACAGAAAGCATAGTCAAAACTAGCCGAGGGCTCTCGAGAGGGCCGGTGGCTTCCACATGGGGCAGTCTTTGGACAGAGATCAAACTCCTAGATATGTCAAACAGAGTGCCTCGGGAACAGGCGCTCCACAAGGATCAGCGTCGCCCTCCTTTACCGACCCCACCAGGCCGGGGTGCTCTCGCAGCTGCGCCCGAGGGCTCTACCACAGAGGCCGGCCGCCGCATTCCTGACCAAGTCCAAGGGGCTCAGGGTTCACTTCAGCTTGTCCTTCTGAGGGTGCCCAGCAAGAAAACATCTCAGTCCCCTTCCCAATTGGCATAGGCATTGGTCCAGGGGAGAGAAAGCTGAAAAGGGAAGCCAGGAAAGGCTACTCGTGCATCTAAAATCCCCTCATTTTCCCAAACCACACAAGATCATGTGACCAGCCACGAGGTTAAGGTATGGCAGCCCCCCTGCCTCCCACCTTTATGGAACTGTAATATGGGGACAGTAAACACGAAACCAGCAAGAACCCCTGGGGTTTATGACATGAACTCTGGAATCTGACCCTGAACTTTCCGTTTCTGTTTTTGCTCAGTCAGCTGACTCAGGCCACAGCTACAAGGGACTGTGACAGAGCAAAGCACTCTGGGCCTAGGCCATCTGGGAGCCTCCCTCCGCCGCTGCCACTTCCGGGACTCAGGACCAGAATGACTTTCCTCCCCTCTTGCTAGTTCATACAGTAAGCAGCTACTAACTCTGACTTTGGGGTACGGTTGGAGGCCAGATGGGCTGGAGCTGCAGCACTCTAGCGAGCAGTGTGAGCGAATGCAAAGGGGCTTCTCGGCCTTTCTTCAGCTCAGGGGTCATGCACAAGGACGCAGGGCGGCCCTGCCAGACCTCGTACACAGCAAAACTAACGGCGAGAGCAGCAACGCCGGGACACGTACTGCGTACTATTAAACGCCAGGCACCCTCACACCACTGATGTACTACTTTCCCTATTTAATAACCACAGAAACAGGCCCAAAGCTGTATCCAACACCAATCTTCGTAGGTGGCTGAGTCAGGATTTGAACTCATGGGGCCATGCCCTTAGCACTGTGCTACATATACCACCTGCTCTAATTTACTGCTCGTGTGCCAAGCACATTACATATGATCGCACTGAAGCCTCGCCATCGACCACAGGGTGGGGATTGCTGGCCCCCGGCTTACAGACACAGGAGCTCACAGAGGAAGCAGCCCACATACCTTCCCAGTCACTCTTCCCACACCATCACCAAGCCGCACGGGACGGATGCTACCTAATACTTTTCTGACAGTCCACCCTCACTGCGGTCATTTCTTGCAGGTGACAGTCACCATCAACAGCTATGCAGGTCCTCCAGAAGCACCCAGTTGTACAGAATTCTGCTTTGGAGTCCACCCCAACCTATGTATTGCAGCAAAAATCAACTTCATAATTCAGGGAAAGGCCTCAAATCCAAGAGTTTGGTTCCATTAGAACATTTAAGAACCCCAGTGATTCCTATAGTAGTTAGCACTAAGTGAACGAAGTTCAGGGAGTGACTCAAATTTTTACACACACACACACACACACACACACACACACACACACACACA